TAAACAAAAGTAAACAAAAGAAAACAAAAGTAAACAAAAGTAAACAAAAGTAAACAAAAGTAAACAAAAGTAAACAAAAGTAAACAAAAGTAAACAAAAGTAAACAAAAGTAAACAAAAGTAAACAAAAGTAAACAAAAGTAAACAAAAGTAAACAAAAGTAAACAAAAGTAAACAAAAGTAAACAAAAGTAAACAAAAGTAAACAAAAGTAAACAAAAGTAAACAAAAGTAAACAAAAGTAAACAAAAGTAAACAAAAGTAAACAAAAGTAAACAAAAGTAAACAAAAGTAAACAAAAGTAAACAAAAGTAAACAAAAGTAAACAAAAGTAAACAAAAGTAAACAAAAGTAAACAAAAGTAAACAAAAGTAAACAAAAGTAAACAAAAGTAAACAAAAGTAAACAAAAGTAAACAAAAGTAAACAAAAGTAAACAAAAGTAAACAAAAGTAAACAAAAGTAAACAAAAGTAAACAAAAGTAAACAAAAGTAAACAAAAGTAAACAAAAGTAAACAAAAGTAAACAAAAGTAAACCAAAGTAAACAAAAGTAAACAAAAGTAAACAAAAGTAAACAAAAGTAAACAAAAGTAAACAAAAGTAAACAAAAGTAAACAAAAGTAAACAAAAGTAAACAAAAGTAAACAAAAGTAAACAAAAGTAAACAAAAGTAAACAAAAGTAAACAAAAGTAAACAAAAGTAAACAAAAGTAAACAAAAGTAAACAAAAGTAAACAAAAGTAAACAAAAGTAAACAAAAGTAAACAAAAGTAAACAAAAGTAAACAAAAGTAAACAAAAGTAAACAAAAGTAAACAAAAGTAAACAAAAGTAAACAAAAGTAAACAAAAGTAAACAAAAGTAAACAAAAGTAAACAAAAGTAAACAAAAGTAAACAAAAGTAAACAAAAGTAAACAAAAGTAAACAAAAGTAAACAAAAGTAAACAAAAGTAAACAAAAGTAAACAAAAGTAAACAAAAGTAAACAAAAGTAAACAAAAGTAAACAAAAGTAAACAAAAGTAAACAAAAGTAAACAAAAGTAAACAAAAGTAAACAAAAGTAAACAAAAGTAAACAAAAGTAAACAAAAGTAAACAAAAGTAAACAAAAGTAAACAAAAGTAAACAAAAGTAAACAAAAGTAAACAAAAGTAAACAAAAGTAAACAAAAGTAAACAAAAGTAAACAAAAGTAAACAAAAGTAAACAAAAGTAAACAAAAGTAAACAAAAGTAAACAAAAGTAAACAAAAGTAAACAAAAGTAAACAAAAGTAAACAAAAGTAAACAAAAGTAAACAAAAGTAAACAAAAGTAAACAAAAGTAAACAAAAGTAAACAAAAGTAAACAAAAGTAAACAAAAGTAAACAAAAGTAAACAAAAGTAAACAAAAGTAAACAAAAGTAAACAAAAGTAAACAAAAGTAAACAAAAGTAAACAAAAGTAAACAAAAGTAAACAAAAGTAAACAAAAGTAAACAAAAGTAAACAAAAGTAAACAAAAGTAAACAAAAGTAAACAAAAGTAAACAAAAGTAAACAAAAGTAAACAAAAGTAAACAAAAGTAAACAAAAGTAAACAAATAAACTATTTAAGTATAACTTTTTTATTTCATATTAGTAAAAAGAAATTCTGAACTGGTTTTTGCTTACTTATTCATTATCAAGACCCAAATGGTGTATAAGTATTGAGTGTGTTATAGCGAATTTATGTAATAAAACAATTTTATTTTGTTAATGTTAAATAGAAAAACAGTTAATATTTTACTATTTCCCAAACAGTTATGTATTGGTCCATTTGCACCACTGGTCGTTAAGAAATAAGCCAAGCTTAAAATAACATTTTTCCATTGACAATGTCAATTTAAGCTTAGCTTATTTCCTAACTACTAGCGGTGCGAATGGCCCATAGTACATTAAATAAGTCTAGAATTTTCTGAAGAATCCAAAATTTGACAAATATACAGGGTGGTCACTGTTACATGACACAACTTGTATAAAAAATGTTTATTAAAAAAAATGCGCGACTAAAAATACCAATCGACGTGTCCGAGCGTTTTTCCGAACACTCTCCTATTTGTTTATTACAGAATTTATTTCATTTGGCTGTTCCACACTGTATAATAGCTTAAACGGCGTATAGAGAAAGGAGAAATGGCATGTTACACCGCTTTTTAGTCAAGTTTGGCAAAACATACCTGCGTTCTGTCTTGACAAATCAGAGCAGTGGAAATGGCATCATTGACTGGGAAATGATGCATTATGTACATTATGCATTGATTCTGCAGCATGATAATGCTCGCTCCCTCTTTAAAATAATTTTAAAAAAATTTAACCGATATAATATAGTTGTTAAGAACTGGCCAGCTAATAGACCGTCAGATAGTGACCGATTTAGGTGCCCCATTTTCGCATAAAAGCCTCGAAGAGGGTTGAAAAGTACATCGATGTTGAGTAGAGTAAAAGAAAATATACGAACGGTTCTTATGGATAACATATGAAACATTCGATTTTCCTTATCAGAAAAATTTTCCGACTTTAAAATGCACTTATACATTCGGGTTATTTAGGAAAATATGTTTTTCGGACTAGTGACGACGTACGTTTTCATATATTCGATGGGCTTGTGTGAAAATATTGGACAAAATCTCGATTTTTCCTTAGAAGATTACGGCCTTTATTTCAACCCTTTAGACATTTGCAAAATTAAAGCCTATGGTGTTCCAAAATCTAGTTCTATTAAGTAATCATATAGTGAAAACTGCTTTCGTGAAAAAATGGACAACAAATAACCTTTCGTTATTGTTAGGGAAAATCGAATTTTCCATTTGTTATCCCCAGAAGCCACTCGTAAATTTCCTCTCATTCTAGTTAAAATCGATGTACTTTTCACCCCTTTTCGAAAATGGGGCGGCTAAACCTATCACTATCTGACGGACTATGAGAGTCCTGATTTCAACCCGATGGAATATGTTTGGAACACACTCAGGCACCAATTGTTACAACGTCAACCAATATATCACCTTAAACACCTGAAAAAAACATTTTTGCAGAACTGGAAACAGCTGCCTTCCTAAGTTATAAGGAATTTAAGTAAAAGTATGTCATGTAGTTGTGCTGAAGTGTCAGAACAGGCCATATTCATTATTAATCTTATGCTTATTTTAAATTTTGTATCTTGTTACGACAAGACTACATTTTTATATTTTTGTATTTAATTAAAAATTAATTATTAACATTGGATAAGGCAGCAGCTCGGCTTAACAGGTTTAGTCTTGTGTATCGACATGGGTGTCTATCTAAGGAAATTCGGCGTATCTATAAAGCCCAAACAAAATGCCTGCATAGTTCCATACCAGGACTGCTGGCAGGCTGTTTATAAATAAATACAGGTATAGCGTGGGGTTCCGAGGAGATGTAAAGCTGTCGATCATAAGTCCATAAATTCGACTAAATTTCTAGTATTTATGGGTAGCGTACTCACCAGCATCGGCGTTTAAACCTCGTAGTTAGAAATAGGCCGACGCTTGATTATACAGGGTCCATTAATGCCCAATTATTCAATATTTCAATTTGTGTTATAGAAACGCCAACAATTTTTAAATGAAACTTATATGGACTTGCAAAATAGATATTTTAAAAATACGTTTGGATATACAGAAGACCTTGTATTTTATTTTAGAATGGTTTGGCAATATTGTGTTCAACCTTAGAATATTTTAAAAAATATTACAGTATTGCCAAGCATTTAATTATTTTTTAATTAGAGAATAACGCAAATTAAATTGTCATAATTTGGGTAGGTTTCAAAATTAATTAATACACAGATTTATAAGATACTTATCTAACAAACAGTGGTGATATAACTTGTTTATTTTATACAGAGTGTTTTAAAACATGTTCTAAATATGGCTAATTTTAGGTTCAATTTACTCATTTTTTTTAATGCAACACCCTGTATATTATCTTAGGATAAAATTCCCTATAAATTCCATTTAAAAAATCGAGAAAACCGTTACCCCGCATTTTGACACATTTTATATACAACATAGCAGCAAATAAATAAAGTCTTTTACAATTGTTAGACGTTGTGAAATCAATTAAATATATATAACTACCTTCAGGGTGTTTTGCATTAAAAATGTATAAGTTAAGTCATCCCCTCGTGTATGTACCACCATGTACATAAAAATATTTATTAAACATGGTCATACAACTATGATATTATTTTTTTTTGTATTTCTAATAATAAAACAGCTATCGATAAATTACGCACTGATGTGATACCCTGTATATATGTTATTGGCTAACTTGTTGGTGTCGTTGGATAGGCCAATTCACAAAGAAATTTATGCTAAAATAATATTTTAAATAGTTATGGAAATTGTTCTTAAAATTAGCCATATTTAGGATATGTTTCATGACACTCTGTATAAAATAAACCTATCTAAATTATGATAATTTAATTTGGGGTCTGCATCATTCCCTATTTACTAAAAATAATTGCTTGTCATCACTGTAATATTTTTCAAAAACATTCTACGGTTAAATTCAATATTATTAAATTAATCTAAAAATAAAATAAAATACAGGGGGTGCCATTTAAATAACCTAAATTTTTATTTGCCAAGCAAAAACGCAACCCTGTGTATCCAAGAATATCCATATAAGTTTTATTTAAAATTTGTTTGCGTGTTTATAACACAAATAGAAATAATGAACAATTACGCACTAATGGGATACCCTAAAAAAACAAGGGGTAGTGTAGTAAACACATTTTTAAAAGTGGCTCAATATTGATTTTGATCAGTGTACATTAAAAATAAACTATTGTTTAAAAGTGACCATTAATAATTTAAAATTGTTAAGTGCAGAGTTAGAGCATAACATATGGCTTATTCTTTTTGTCATACTCTAACAAAATTGAGATTGCAGTTTTTAATTAATCCATATAATTTTTTGAAGAGCTAAAGAATAATAGGTGAACATAACTTGGGCTTACTTACTTTCTCGTGGCCTTTTATCATAAAGTTAAGGTCATCCAAGCCTAGTACTTTGTTCGAATATGTCAAGGATACGTTTCTGAACTCAAATATTCCTTCTTCAGGCCAGTTTTCTGGTGCCAGTCGACGCTGTACTAGAGAAGTCAGTGACAGTTTACTTTTTGACGTAGTAAATTCTAAGGTATCGGTATACTTTTTATGTTGCTCTGATGGTATTTTCGAGTACTCGATTATTCTGTTTATAGATTCCGTGCTAAGCGCTGATTGAATTAACTTTTTTACGCCGTAATGTAGGATTTCTGTTAATTGGTAGACTTGGAGGATTGCCAGGCCTGCGTAGCTGGGTTCTACGGGATGAACTAAAAACAATTTTTTAATATTTAATTGTTTTATTAGTAATATGTTGAAAAGAAATTTTTTATTATATAAATATCCCTTACCGCAGTTGTTAATTATTATTAATCCAAATATTGTAAAAAACAGTAATGTATTACATAACAGATCTGACCACAATGTAAAAGAAAACATGCAGGCGAGGTTTAGTCGATGAAGGCTTGTGTGGTTATCCTAAAAATTAAAAGAAATATTATTCTTCCATTTAGACACTTCCCAGATACTTTTATAACTCTAATTTTGGGGTAGATTAACCTTGTACCGATTCGGTATAAACATAATTATTCAACATTTCTATTTTATAGAGCTAGAGCTTTTTAAAGATGACACCTTTTCATCAAATAATAAGGACCTAGCTAAAATAAAAATATTTTCTTTGGATCATAGTCTGCATTTAAATCCATCTAAATCTAAATCAATCATATTTTATAATACCCAATCTCGATCTTTTAATAAAAATAATTTTTCCGTAAAACTTGACGATGAGACAATTCCTATGGTACATGTAGCCAGAAGTCTGGGCTTACTACTGGATGAGAATCTTCAATATATTGAACATATCAACAGTTTGTCCACTCAATATTATCTAATTCTCAAACTTCTATACGCTAATAAAGATTTGCTCTCAATGAATATGAAAAAATACTTATGTGAAACTCTAATCCTTAGCAAAATTTCTTATTGTGATATAAATTTTTATCCTTGTCTAGATTCAATAACATCTATACGGCTTCAAAAAATTCAGAATACATTCAGAAATATGATCATATTTCTCAAAGCTTTAAAGAACTTCGGTGGCTAAATATCAGTAATCTGTATCAGTATCATTTGCTATCATTGGTGCACAAAATAATACACACTAAAAGTCCAATATATCTCTCTCGTAGGTTAATTTACAGACATCAAATGGAAAGAGATTAACAAGTCACCGTCAACATATATATTGTCCGCAATTTGTGAACGTTTAAGCTGTTAAGAGTGTAATTTAAATTGTATACCTATCGATTCGTCCTAGTGTGATCTTGATATTGGTTGAAAAACTGCAGTTACATATTGCAAAGTAAGTTAGATATTCGGTGAAATTAGATCGCATTTCTCCGTAAATAATAATTGATCAGAGTTATAAATTCCAAAATGGAACTTTTATTTTTTTAAAATTTTATTAAGTATAAAATACACTTAAATGGATATCTGAACTAAAGCTACTTCGAATAACTAACTCAAATAACTAACTAGTTCAAAATAACGAATATAATAAGGTTCTACTCCTATTTATAAAGTAAAACTGATTATTAATCAAAGATAATATATAAAAGAGTCTATTATGTTCTCAATATATAACTCCTCCCTCCTTAAGTTTTGAAAAATATGGAGCTATTTTTCAAAATATCTTCTGTGGAATTTTCTAATTCAATTTCTTTGTTTTCTTTCTTCTAAATATTCTTAAAAGTTGTCTTCTGTATTTAATTAATATTAAAATAATTAAGCAAATAAAAATTACAAAAGTTGTTCCAAAAGTGCTTGAATAATTAAAATTATTTTGAATTTCTTTAATTGGCTTTAATTGTTTAGAAATTTGATTAATTTCATATAAATCATTAAAATCTAATTTAGTTATATTAGAAGTTTGATGACTTTGAAGTTTGAATCTTCTTCATGTCGATCTTTGGTAAAATAAATGGCTTTCCTCTGCTCAGTTGAATGTTATTGATGTATCTTCTTTCCTTTGCCCAAATTTTACAAGATTTTGGTATCTTGATTAGTACGGGTGATCTTATGTCTATATACTGGTTACTGTTACATTTTGCAAGAATTTGTTCAGGTTTTGACGTGATTATTAGGACTTCATCTACTGCGATTTGTTCGAATACTGATTCTTCTAAATTAACATTTAAAATATAACAATTATTCAAAGTTCTTCCTTCGAGTAGTTGGAGAGTACAATTATCTCTGGGGATGAAATTCTGTTGACAATAATAGATTTCTTCAAGGGATGGACATTCTTCTCGTTCAAACTGTGTTTCTTGATGTTTTCGTGCCAAATAGGGAAATAAAGGTGTATACTTTTTTTGGTTTTGGATAATTGGGAATAAATGATAAAATTCAAAGGTATTACTTTCAAAAATAGGAAAATGTATTGCAAAAATTAACTTGTACTCTGAAATTGATACTTGCGTTCCTAAGAACTGATAATACGTTAATAAATTTGTAAATTTCGGAATTTGATCAACATTATATATTTTATGTAAATATTTTATCATGTCTTTAATGTCTGAGCTGGAAACTATAGAATTATGTAAAGTATTTAATTTTGCAAAGGTTATAGCATTTTCTAAATTATCTATAAAAGAAATTGCCATTTGACAATCTAAATCAATTTGTGATATAATGGCCTGAAAACTAATATAACTTTCAAGTGTATTAATTCTGTTATAAATAGCTGCTTCAATTTTTTCCATATCAACTTTAAATTTTTCTTGATTTTAGCTTAATATTGTGATTGATTTATTATAATGATCAACAAGTCTTTTGTACAACGAAATTTGAAGATTTGTTTCACTGATAATATTTTTTTGATTTTCTTGCAATGTTTTTATAGCATTATCATATCTTTCTTCGTCATCAGAATCAAGATTTCCAAATAGCCATTTGTTAATTTTTCCAATTGCATTTATTAGAGCTCTTTTATGTCTTACATGAGGGATTAAATTATTAATCTTTTTCTGAACAGTAATTATTAAATATTCTGTTCTTGTTAACATATTTTGTGATAAGCTATGATAAGATATTGGAATACTAGCATTAACATAAACTATACTACGTTTTATCGTTTCAAAATGATTAACTAAATGATTAACTTGTTTAACTACTTCTTCTAAGTCTAAATAATGTAAAAATGTATGTTTACTATATATAAGTTTAGCGTTTCCTAACTGAATAGAAAGAAGAAAATTTTCGATTGGAGTGATCTGTATATCGGAAGATGTACTATATATTTGGTATACATAAATTACTTGTAGAACTTGTACTTGGAACAGCGTCGTTATCAAAATGGATTTTATTTTCGTCGATATCCTGTAACAATTTTTCTAAATTATTTTTTGGCTTTCTAACAATACTTTTATGATAAGTACCTTTATCTGTTTTTAATAAAATACCTTTATCTTCAATGATATTTGCCTTGTTAAATTTTGGTAATTTTTTATTTCTCGATTTTGTTTTGACAAAACATGACTTTTGTTTGGAATAGTTATCTGGTTCAATACTCTTTTCATTTAATTTGTTTATTAAATTCTCTTTTACTTCTTCATTACGTTGTTTAATTTTGTTATACATCTGTTTACTAATTTGTTTATGATCTTGTACATAATTAGAAATTATTAAGTGATCGTCTAAGTCAAAGGAATTTGTATTATCAATGTGATAATATCAATATTGAAATAATTAAAGGACTTATTTCAAATGGAAGTTCACGCTATTGTCACTGAATGTATACTATTATTATAACAAAATACAGAATTTTTTATTAGTCTATCTGGTATAAAATGTTTGTTTTTCTGCTAATATTTTCGATATATCTATTTGATCTAGGTTTGGAATAAACACGATTTAATTCTTGCAGAACTATTTCATTTCATTTTATTTTATTTGCACTAAAAAGTAAAATATATATTTGATTTTTGAAAAATTCAAAGATCAGTATATTTTGACATGGATTTTATGAATTCGTAATTATGTCTATTTTTAATCTTCCTTTAAAGAAGTAGTTATTTTTGTAAAATTTTTAATTATTACATTTTTAGTAATTTCCTATCCGTCCAAAGAATAATTTGATACATATTTTTTATTTTAATAAAATTTAAATTTAAAGTATATAGGTATGTTTTAAATAAAACTAGGTTTATTTCTAAAACTAACTAGTAGTAGATTCTAAATTTTGTCCCTTTTCTCCTAAAGTTGGAAAAACATTTAAATTTTATTATTTTTCTATTACATTTGTATATTCCTGGTTTTTCATTTTGGTCCTAATTTTATTATTAGGTAATAAAAATTCTTTCTTTAATTTTTTCTTGCATTTATATTTTGTATTTATTCTATTTTCAATATTTTTATTTAATAATGTAAATTCTGTTTTAACACACTGATTTATTTTAGAAAACTCTTTATCGTTCGGCATAACATTTAATATGTATAATTGATCTTTATCAATAATATCTATTTTTTGACATAATTTAGGAAAAACTAGTTGATTCAGAGAATCCTTAAGAGATTGAACTATTTCATCAATATCATTTATATTTTTATCTAAAGAATCGGTTTCTGAAGTATTAAGTTCGTCCACTTTATTTGGAGTTGCATCATTAGGAGGATCTTCATTTGGAGTTGCATCCTCCACTACTAAATTATTTTTATCTAAATTAGTGTTGACTTTTTGTGAATTATTATCACAATTTTCAATTTCAAACAGTTTATACATGTTTGTTACAAAACAAATATCTTCTGTAGATTTCGTTTCAAGATTCTTGAATTCCAATATATTTTTATTTAATAAAGAAGGAGAAGGAACTATTCCTTCTTTATTATTTCCTTTTGATTCATTTATTTTTATAACTTCACAACAAGAAAGTATTGTTTCTTTGACTGGACTATATTTAAATGGAATTTCAAAATCATCACCTATTAGCTTTTGTTGAGTCAAGTTAATTATCAAGTTCAAGTTTATCAAATCTTTTAAACCTAATATACCTTTAAAAAATGTGTGAAAATCGTAGACAATAAAGTCTGTGTATTTCTTATCAGAATTAAACTCTGCAGCTGGCACTAAGGCCTGGTAGTCGATCCGCCTACTCCCCATGCTAGTCGATAAGGTAAGTTCTGAATGGTAAATTGTTTGCGGAAAATATTTTTTTATTACTGAAGGTTTTATTATTGACCTACAAGATGCCGTATCAATTAGCAGTTTGAGCTTGGGTTCGCGTATTTCTATATAAGGCAATGCATTGTTTGAAATAATATGCAATTCTACTATCTTTTTGTTTTCAATGAGGCTGGTACCTGAAAATTTTGTTCAAAGTCACCTTTTTTAATCGATTCATTTTCAAATTTAATTTGATTAGGATTTTTAAAATTAGTATGATCATAATCATGCTTATTTAAATTGGTATTATTGCAAA